CTGTCCTGTAGGGTTGCTGTGAGTCAGAATCGGCTGGATGGCAGTGAGTGAATGAGATAGCGTTTTCACCACAGCACCAAAGTCTGTAGCATAGTGCTGTGGTCCTCTAGTGGATGTAGAGACATTTATGATGCATAGGCAGCTTCAAGGAAGGAAATAAAGTCATCATCGGATCTGTAACTTTAGGGTTATGTGGAAATGGATGGTCTAGCAAAATAAGAACTCCCAATATAGGAAGGCCCAGGAGTTAGTGATTCAGCCATGTCTAGGGCCAACCATCCTTATTTCTCTTAAGACGATTGTTGTGAGTGGCCTTTGAATCATTGTTAATTCGTGTGGCTCCCTCTGGGCCAAGTAGAACTACTCCACAGTGTTTACAAGGCCAGGACATTTCCAAAGCAGATTGAGACGCTTCTCTCTTGAGGCACCCCTGGGTGGGTCCCAATCACCAGCTTTTTGGCTCGTAATCAAATGCTTCATCATTTGCACCACCAGGCGCTGTTTCTCTCATCACCCTGCCATCCTCCAAGTTGGCTGCACCCGCAGGTGACTCTCCCATGGTTGCAAACCTGACAGCCAACTATGGAGGCGGAATTCTGAGATGCCTTATTGGTTCCCGGCGCCAACTTCCTTTCTATTCTGCACATAGAGAATCTCTTTCTTGAGAAAATTTTAATTAGGGTTGTTGTTCCTTTAAACTGTATACAAGATTTCTAGGCATTCAAATAAATGATCCTGGAGAAAAAACAGTTAGATCCATTAGTAGCTGTCTTTCATGTATGACTTTAGAATTACTGTTTCATGTGTTTACTTATGCTGTGTTCCATGAACATAGATTACACTAATGGCTGTGAATAGCCCTTATTTAACTTGGGTGGTGGGAAGGTACCTCTTTATCTTCCTTCTGCAAATAGCGCTTAGAATAATCCATAAAAATCATTAACCCTCAAGGTTAGAAAAGAATTGATAACTGAATAACCTGAACCAGTAATGCCAGTAGTCTAAGTAATATAAAAATCCTGCAGACCATAAACACTGATGCATATTTCCAATAGTAAAATTTTATTATCTTTACATGCGGGTTTTTAAATCAAGAAAGTCAGTGACAACATTGGTCTAATTTACTTCTCAGGGTAAGAAGCTGAGGGGAAGAGTCCAGGCAAAAGTAAAGTTCCTTAGCCACTGTGAACTTTTCTTGAGAGCTTAACGTGTGTTTTTCCCCGTTTCTTTAAAATATCAATTTCAGATATAAGCAATGAAAATGGTATTCACATATGTATGTAGTGTGTCCTCTGTGTATGAAACATGGCTATTTTATTTCAGTCTTTTTGTTTCAGGCAACACCATCTTATATATCAATTTTAATAGAAGAGAGAAGGCCTTTGCCACTAAGATCATTTGCATCTGCTTTAGATTTATTCTAGAAAAGCTTAATTTTTTTCCATCAAATAATTTAACGATCAGTCAGAGGACTTTGAGTTGAAACCAAATTCCCATTCCATGTGGCTACCAAAGGAATGTCACAGAGGAGCTCGCTAGGCAATGTGTGTTGACCGCAATGACGTTGTCCGTGGGTTGGCTAGATTTTATTTTTAACTAAAAGGGTGATATGAACTCTGATGGAAAAGAGTGGTAATTTCCTAGTTAGTTTTTCTGGGGGTGAAGTTAGGGGTAAAGATTAAGATACTTTGCCTGATTTGTGTTAAATTCTTTAAGGATATTTTTTAAAGTGTGTGTGCCAATTAATCACTGGAAAACATCAAAATTAAACAAACTTATTTCAGAGACTGAGCAAATCAGAGAAGCAGATCTAGGAATGGTGTCCTTGGTTATAGGCTCTCTTGTGGTTTCCAAAACTCGTTGAGTTTTCCAGCTTTCTTACTCACAGTGTTGGGATGTGGGCCTGATGAGCCATCGCGTAGGGCTGTACGGGATCCTCTTCTTTCGGATCACAGCCCAATAGGGTGTGGCCCTCAGCAGCTCTCTAAAATCATGTCAGATTTACCTTAGTTGAATTGATATTTTTCTAGAAATCGGCTTCCCTTTTGAGATATAGTTTGGGGAGTATCAGCCATCAAACAAATATAACTTGCTTTTAAGGTCTTTTCCCAGCTCTTGATCAGGCACATTTTAGGACTTTTCATTCCTTACAATAATCATTTAACATGAAGAGTCACCTAGATACATAGTGAAGCATTTTCCAGGAACTGCTGTGTATCGAACTACAGGATGTTTGATGTATAAGGAGACCCGGCCCCAGGTGCAGTGAGAGCTGACATCTAGCTGCCTTCTACATACAGAACTGCGCTCCATGGGATTTACTCATCAAAGGGATGGCTGGTCCATGTCCTGATATTTCTGTAATGTATGTAAACCATTTTCTAATTGTGTCATATACTTTTGAGACTTGAATTTCATCAGTTCGTCTTTGTGACTAGATATTGATATATCAAGACCATACACAGTTATTCATTAGGGGGGAGTAGCTAACCGAATGCTTGATGTTTGGAACGCACCCTCAGCTATCTGAGAAGAAAGGCCTGGAAATCCCCTTCTGAAAGATCATCAGCATGAAAACCCTGTGGAACACAGTTCTCCTCTCCAGCACCAGGAATCTAAACAGACTTATGGGAAACTTTTTGTTTTTAATGGGTAACTGTTGGTAATAAGCAAGAAACAGACCACATACGGCCACAAGTCATGGCTACAGCAAAAGTGCATTTGGTTCTCTGTTACCCAACTATAGTTAGCAGGCTCACCAATGTAGGTATCGTAGACCAAGTAGTCATTCACCACTTTGTGGTCTATATAGTTAGGTAGCTTCTGAAGGGTGTATATCCTCTGATATGCAGAGGAAGAAGAAGAATCGATTCTGAGAATTCTGCCATGGGTCTTGTTCTACCTTGATACTAACCTGGAATAAGGTTTCTACCATTCTCCTTAGTCATTTTTTAAAAGTGAGTAATGAGGCCTTTTGAGCCTAATTCCCTCATGCTCATCAAGTTGATTCCTACTCACGGTGACCTTGTAGGACAGTGTCGCAATGACCCTGTGGGTTTCTAAGACTATAACTCTTTATGGTAGTAGAAAGTCTCCTCTTTCTCCTGTAGAGCAGCTGGTGGTTTTGAACTGCTCACCTTGGAGTTATCAGCCCAACTTGTATCCCACTATCCCACTAGGACTCCAGTTCTATTATAAACCTCGTAAATTCTTGGCATAGTTGAGTAACTATATTTTGACAGTGGAATTGAGACATATTTGCCTGGTATCTTAATGTGACTATTGAAGGAACTTTCAAAAGTACTGTGTACCTACAGGGAGGAGCTGCTCTGTGTACCTGCTTTGTACTGGTTAGAAAGATAAACCAAACACTGCCATTGAGTCTACTTTAGATCATCGTGACCCATGGGGCAGAGTTGAACTGCTCCTGTGGGTTTCTGACCCTGTAACTCCTACGAGAGTAGATAGCCTCACCTTTCTCCCTCAGAGCAGCTGGTGGTTTCGCATAGCTGGCCTTGTGGCTAGCAGCCCAATGCATATCTCATTATGCTATCGGCGCTCCGAATGATAAGGATAGTGGGATCGGAAAAGAGGCAAACAAATGTGGAGTGTGTAAATTATCACTAGACGAAAGACAGTATAGGTTTATGGGTAAAAGCATAGACTTTGGAGTCAGCAAGATTCTGTTCATGACCCTGCTCCTCCATTCATGAGATATGTGCCTTAGGCAAGTGGTTACATTTTTCAATCTGCTTTTTTTCCTGTTGAGGGAGGATAAGACTATGTTATGGGGATTTGTGAGATGAGTTTTATATGTCAGGTATCTGTAATTCTAATAAAAGGTAGATAACATTATATAAGAAGATAAGATGTCCTAATTAAAATACAAACACAGAAACAAGCAAACTCACTAATCTTCACTTGATTTCTATTCATATCGACCCTACAGGACTGAGCAGAACTGCCCCTTTGAGTTTCTGAGATTGTAAGTTTTTATAGGAACAGTCAGCCCCATCTTTTTCCCATGGAGTGGCTGATGGCTTTTGTGGCAGTTACATATCTACTGTCAACCTGAGCTAAGGGGTGGAGTCCAGTCTGTCAATCAGGTCATAGCCTATGAGGCCTTTGTGTGGGCGTGACCTTCTCCTGAGGCTTCTGGGAAGTCCTATCTTCCTCCATGGAGGCAGGACACATATACCCTCCCTTCGAGACATTCCTGTTGACAAGCCACATGGAGATTACACTGATGGAGCCAGAGCCCTGGAGGTGGAGGAACCACATGGAAACTCACACCAGTGCTGAGATGCTTCCACTGCCACTAGATCCATAATACTTTCTACCCACTGGCCTGTGATCTTCCTGCATTCAGCGTCATTGCATGTGTTTCATGATTCTGAAGAGGAATTTATATATTGGCATTGGACATATGGGCTAATATCAGACTTATGGACTGGATCTGGACTGGGCTGGGATGTTTTCTTAATATACAATTACTCTTTGATATAAAGATCTTTCTTATACACATATGAATGTCTATGAAGTTGCTTCTCTAGTCAACCTGAACTTTGAACTGCTGGCCTTGTGATTAGTAGCTCACTATGTAGCCCACTATACCATCGGGGGTCCTTAGATCTTGTTTGTGACTTGTTTAATAAGGATTCTTATCCTCTCTGAGATAGTTAGGTATATTCTAGAAGGAAACCTAAATCATAAAACTGTGGGGTTTGTTTTTGTTTTGCTCCATCTTTTCTAACCTGTTTTCAGGTTACTCCAGCCGGATAATTAGTATTATTTATATCTTTTGTATCTCCAGATTTCTCTGTCAGTGGTTTTTATGTTTTCATGGAGGTTATCTTTGGAACAAAAGAATTCATGATCAGTTTTTCTTGCCCTTATTCATTCATTTAATTCTTATGTATAAGGATTGTTCTCTCCCTTTTAAAGTCTACACTGACACTTCCCTCTTCCTGAGATCTCTTCTACTCATTGATCCTTTCCAGTGAGAAGAGGGGATGTCCTGGCAGCATGGAGTGGTATTCGCCCCCTTGTGACGGACCCTAAATCGGCAGATACTCAGTCAATCTCCCGAAATCATGTTGTTGATGTCAGTGATTGTGGCCTTATCACTATAGCAGGTATGGGGGGTGAACTGTTATTGAATGGGACTCAGAGATGGCCTCGACTTAAATCATCATGTCCCAAACATTTTTAACCTTAATAACCAGCAAATTTGTCTTTTCCTTCAGTGATTCTAAGACTTATACATTAGTTTGCCTAAATTGTTCTAGAAATAGATGAATCATCTTACCAGTAAGGTAATATAAGGATAAGTAGAAGGAAAATAAGGTTGGGGTGGGGGGAGTTGTGACCTATTGAATCACTGCTTAATTTTCTTCTAGGTGGAAAGTGGACAACCTACCGATCCATGGCGGAAGACACTGTAGATACTGCAGTCAAGGTTCACAATTTGCGAGCAGGGTCCAGTAGAACGGTTGGGCTTTACCTGCAAGGCGGGAAAGATTGGAGCCCCACACTCTACATTAGGCTTGTCCAAGATTATGGACTTGAAAGTGAGGTGGGTTTGCATCGCCAGATTATCTTTTTCTTGACCTAACTTAGTGTAGCTGATTTCAGAAGCAGCAACTGAGTTCCCTCTCTGCTAAGAGATCCTTTTGGGGGTACATTTCCAGCCACATAATATAGGCTTGAACTACAAAAAGAAGGAAAAGAGGACAGGAAAGAAATTGAAGAAGAAAGAAAAGAAAATGTGAGGATAAGAGCATACTTTTCCCTCGCTGCCAAAAAGCAATGTACATTTGAATTTCTGTTGGAAAACCTGGGGTTTGGAGGTTTGTTTCTAGCAAACATATGTCCCCAACGCTCTCTGTCACAAGCATAAGGAAAGCCATTGCTCAGAAGTGATCAGGGGAGGCGAAGGAAGCTGAGGTTTCATCAGTCACCGATACAGTGATGCATGTATAGTAGCGTTCGTGCTAGCCTAAGCACTCAGAGCCCGAGTGGTTTCCTCCCACAAAATCAAACTCTAATGCCCTTCTGGAACTATCAGTTACAGGCTGTGAGAAAACTCACATGATAAGCATGGACATTTTTTGTTGTTGCTTCGGACCTAGACGAGGTTGATAGTCCAGTATCTACCTAATGTGGTTTTCTTTTCACAGGTGGCACAACATCTTGCCACCACCTATGGGGACAAGGCCTTTGAAGTGGCCAAAATGGCAAGTGTAACTGGGAAGAGATGGCCCATTGTTGGAGTACGTCTTGTGTCAGAATTTCCATACATTGAAGCGGAGGTATGCGAGTAGCCACGTATCTGTTTCTTCTCTGCCAGGGTAAACGAGTCCTCTATATCCTTTGCATCATCTCTGTAGAAAAGACACCTCACTGGGAGTTCATGTCCTTCAATCATGGCTTGTCTGTTCAGGGCAGAACTTTTCACTATTTGAACTTGGGGGTGCATTTGCGAGTAGCTCTTAGGATAATAGAAAATATGGATTTATTTCACCAACAGTTTTCCCAAAGCTTATCAATGCATGGGGGCTTGTTTCTTGTTGAAACCTGTAATCCTTCTTATTTGTACCAGCACACAGACTTCCCAATACTTTTATTTGTTGTTGTTTTTTTAATCTTATTTTTTATTAAATGTTTTTATTGGGGGCTCTTACATCTCTTATCACAATCCATACATTCATCCATCATGTCAAGCACATTTGCATGCTCCCATCATCATTTTCAATGCATTTTCTGTACACTTGAGCCCTTGATATCAGCTCCTCATTTTTCCTTCCTCCCCGCTCCCCACCCACCCTCCCCCATGAACTATTGATTATCATGAATTATAGATTATCATTTTCCAGACAGGGTTTCAACTGTAGGGCAACAGGGATCTGTTTAAAATACATTTACCATTCAGTGTCCCTTAACAAAGGGCCCTCAGGTAATACAAACAGTAAGCACCTTCACTACTAACCTACAGGCAGCAGCACCATAGAAAACCACCAATTGGCTTCTATAACAATTATAGCTCTGAAAACTATGGAACACATAAGTCACCCCGAGTCATAACAGACTCCTTAGCAGTGAGCATTGTTTTGCTGTGGTGCTTTAAAAAAACACACAAACAAGTCTCTCCATTGGGTCTTTTTTGTTGTATGGATTCAAGTCTTCTGTCACCTCATTAATCTAAGGCAGAAAGCTATCCAGTCTAACAGGTAAGACCATATCTGCTTTTTTGTTTTGTTTTGTTCTCCTGTTGGTTGTTTGCCTATTCAGTTATGTAAATTGGCATCAAGATTATGCCAAAGGGCACCCCAAAACCAAACTCACTGCATTGAATTGATGCTAACTTGTATCGATGGTGGAAGTCAGGGCAGAACAGCCCCCGTGCGTGTCTAAGACTGTAACTCCTTTCAGAAGTAGAGTGCCCCATAGGTCCTGTGGAGGGGCTGGTGGTTTCGAACCACTGACGCTGCTCTTTAGGAGTCCAACGCATAACCACTATACCGCCAGAGTGCCTCGGTAGTGCAAATGGTTAAGTGCTGGACCACTATATGAAAGGTTGGATGTTTGCACCCAAAGGCACTCTGGAAGTAAAGCTTGGTGACCTATTTGTAAAAAAATCAGTACTTTGAAAGTGTCCGACACCCAATAGGGCACTGTGACTTGGTGTCGACCCAATGGCCACTAGTTATTAGGTATAAACAAAGAGATAAAGGGTTGCTGTGAGGTCATCTAGCTCAGAAGCAACAAAGCCCACATGGAACAACATATCAACCTGTGTGATCACGGGGTGTCGAATGGATCACTGAAGACAAATGGGTGCATAAGCAAATGTGGTGAAGAAAGCTGATGGTGCCTGGCTATCAAAAAGTATAGCGTCTGGG